AATATGACCGTAGACATTGGAGGTGTTTGGATATTTTCATGAAGTGTATTTGCCACGGGTTCGCGGGAAGTTATCAATTTTGGCGTGAACTGATCAGAAAAGTTTAAGGGGTTTGAAGAGGATGTGTGGATGGTGGAGATGGTCCCCTGTGATGTTTCCAGCGTGTCGAGCATGTCAGATTTGGTGTGAGTAGACTCAGTAACATGTTCAGTCCAACAGCCTCGATCTGGGATGGAAGAGATGTAGTTTGACGGGACTGGTTGCCGGTTTACAAATGCTGTAAAGAGAGGGAAAACACAATTACGCGGGACAACGTGCGACACACGTGGTCCATTGGCCTGGGGCGCTGCAATTTGCTGTACAGAGTTGCGTCCCTTGGGCAGTTCAAATATTTGTCATTGCTGTTTCAATACTTGGTTCTGAAATTTACTCCCAGAAAAATAGTTACTCTATTAAAAAGCTAATGAAGGAGCCTTAGACTACTTGCAACCAGGTACACAGAAGGTTGAACCGTTGAATAGGGATTTACGTAACAACAAATTCATGCAGTTGAAAACAAGTAGCAACTGGTTCAAGTAGGGGTTGACGAAAAAGCAGGTTCGAATAGTTATAATACTTGACAACAGATACAGCTATGGACTGACGTTACAACAGGTTCAGATAGTTGATTCACATAACAGAAGGTGAAAATACCGTAGCAGCAGAATCAGGTAGTTGTAACGCGCAACAATAGTGAGTGAGTATGGTTTTACGCCGTTTTTAGCAATATGACGGTGGGGACACCAGAAATGGGCTTCACACATTCTACCCATGTGGGGAATTGAACCCGGGACTTCAGCGTGACGAGTTGACCATTAACCATTAGGCTACTCTACCGTCCAACGTAACAACCGGTTTAGATGGTTGTAACACGTACCAACAGGCTCAGATGGTTGTAACACGTAACAACAGGATGAGATAGTTGTAACACGCAATAAGAGGTTCCGATATTTGTAACACGTAACAAGCTCAGATGGTTGTAACACGTAACAACAGGATGAGATAGTTATAACACGTAATAACAGGTTCGGATATTTGTAGCACGTAACAAGCTCAGATGGTTGTAACACGTAATGACGGGCTCAGATGGTTGTAACACGTAACAAGCTCAGATGGTTGTAACACGTAACAACGGGCTCAGATGGTTGTAACACGTAATGACGGGCTCGGGTGGTTGTAACACATAACAACGGGATCAGATGGTTGTAACACGTTACAACGGGCTCAGATGGTTGTAACACGTAACAAGTTCAGATGGTTGTAACACGTAGCAACGGGATCGGATGGTTGTAACACGTTACAACGGGCTCAGGTGATTGTAACACATAACACCAGGCTCAGATGGTTGTAACACGTAACATGTTCAGATGGTTGTAACACGTAGCAACGGGCTCAGATGGTTGTAACACGTAATGACGGGCTCGGGTGGTTGTAACACATAACAACGGGATCAGATGGTTGTAACACGTTACAACGGGCTCAGATGGTTGTAACACGTAACAAGTTCAGATGGTTGTAACACGTAGCAACGGGATCGGATGGTTGTAACACGTTACAACGGGCTCAGATGATTGTAACACATAACACCAGGCTCAGATGGTTGTAACACGTAACATGTTCAGATGGTTGTAACACGTAGCAACGGGCTCAGATGGTTGTAACACATAGCAACGTCTGGCGGTTGTAACACGTAATGAATGGGCTCAGGTGGTTGTAACACGTAATGACAGGTTCAGATGGTTGTAACACATAGCAACGGGCTCAGGCGGTTGTAACACATAAAAACGGGCTCAGGTGGTTGTGACACGTAATGACGGGCTCAGGTGATTGTACCACGTAACAACAGGCTCAGGCGGTTGTAACACATAAAAACGGGCTCAGGTGGTGGTAACACGTAATGACGGGCTCAGGCGGTTGTAACACATAAAAACGGGCTCAGATGGTTGTAACACATAGCAACGGGCTCAGATGGTGGTAACACGTAATGACGGGCTCAGGTGGTTGTAACGCGTAAAACAGGTTCGGATAGTTGTAACACGTAACAAGCTCAGATGGTGGTAACACGTAATGACGGGCTCAGGTGGTTGTAACGCGTAAAACAGGTTAGGATGGTTGTAACACGTAACAAGCTCAGATGGTAGTAACACGTAATGACGGGCTCAGGCGGTTGTAACACATAAAAACGGGCTCAGATGGTTGTTACACATAGCAACGGGCTCAGATGGTGGTAACACATAACAACGGGCTCAGGCGGTTGAAACACATAAAAACGGGCTCAGATGGTTGTAAAACATAGCAACGGGCTCAGATGGTGGTAACACGTAACAACTGGCTCAGATGGTTGTAACACGTAATGATGGGCTCAGGTGGTTGTAACACGTAAAAACAGGTTCAGATAGTTGTAACACGTAACAGTAGGTTCAGGTAGTTGAAACACGTAACAAAAGGTTCAGATACTTGTAACACGTAACAAAAGGTTCAGATAGTAGTAACACGTAACAACAGATTCAGGTAGTTGTAACACGTAATAACAGGATCGGATATTTGTAACACGTAATAAAACAGTTTCAGATAGTTGTAACACGTAACAACAGATTCAGGTAGTTGAAACACGTAATTACAGGATCGGATATTTGTAACACGTAATAACAGGTTCAGATAGTTGTAACACGTAATAACAGGTTCAGATAGTTGTAACACGTAACAACAGATTCAGGTAGTAGTAACACGTAATAACAGTTTCAGATATTTGTAACACGTAATAACAGTTTCAGATAGTTGTAACACGTAATAACAGGATCGGATATTTGTAACACGTAATAACAGGATCGGATATTTGTAACACGTAATAACAGGTTCAGATAGTAGTAACACGTAACAACAGGTTCGGATATTGGTAACACGTAATAACAGGATCGGATATTTGTAACACGTAATAACAGGTTCAGATAGTTGTAACCCGTAATAACAGTTTCAGATAGTTGTAACACGTAACAACAGGTTCGGATATTTGTAAGACGTAACAAGCTCAGATAGTTAATGGACGTATTTGTGTGAGTTCCGTGTGCTACTGGTAGTAGAGCACGAAATGAAGTCAAAGTGTCATCCCTTTTTACATGGATTCATTCAATTTGCTAATTTTAAATTTTCTCTCCACTTTAACTGTTTTGGCAGATATTAGATTCTAACTGTTTTTTTGTTTGTTTTTTGAGCGTGTAAAATACAATACCTTTAAAACAGTTTTTCACATGCAATTCAGCCGCGTCGTCCTTCTCAAGGGCCAAGACACCCACGTCCAACAGAGGTTCCAGTTGAAAATGTAATAAGCATGAGTTGTTTGAATAGTAGTATGTGAGCGCCCAGCACTCCAGCTTTCCGATCTGCAGTTCCCTACACTGGGTTTGGCATTGTGATGCTGTTGCATGTTTCAGCTCTCGGGTGGCCATCATGGACCCCGGGTACTTCACGCCCCGCCAGATGTCATACAAACAAGCACCTGCAAAGCAGATTCATTTGTTAGTTTGTTGTTTTGGACCTCACAATCCAGCATAGTTTGTTTATTTGTTTCTTGTTTAAAGCCGCACTGAGAAATATCCCAGCTATATGACGGCGGTGTATATACTATCCAGACTGAACCAGTATACTATCGAGACAATCAATTGATTGGCGTCATCGATCTACTTAATCAGGGTGCGTAGTCAGCCGCCTCATATGCTATTGGTAAAGTCAACTCATTTATTTGTGACAGAATGATTAAGAGCTTTGTGAACAGAAGATATCCTGAGAAAAACTAACGTTTTGTATGAATATTGTTCGGCTCTTCCAGTGACCATAAATGCTTACATGTAAAGTAAATCGTGAAATGAATTAATAAAATGTTGCGTAGTCCTTTTTTAAAAGACGATATACGGTATTCGCTATATTTTGAATAATGCCAAAAATGTGTTTCTATCCATAATCATTTAATGTGCGACTTTCTAGTTTAGTTTAGGAATATGTTTTAACATTTCATCTGGAGCTTGCTTGTGAACTCGAAATTTCACTGGTGGCCGTGATCGAATTTTGAAACATGGGTCAAGCGTCACTTTCGTTGAGATTTCAAGATCAGAAGAGGACCATACGGACAGCTCACCAGCTCTGCCTCCGCAAATAAACGGTAATTTAAGGTCACAGGATGTTGGGTGCCATTTGCCTGATCTCCGTGACGACGACACACAGAGACCGTCTCCTTCCTGTATTGTTGTGTTCCAGTTTGAAAACGAGGCTGTGTCCGAACAGTCGTGCCATACAAATGGGGCCGAGATGTCGTTGTAATGCCGGTGTAAGCCGATCCAATTATCTTGATAGGCACTGTGGATTAAGAGAGATGAGGTATTTACTCATTGCAACGCCACAGGGAAGAGCAACGGAATATCCCAAGTAAACATATCAGGGTAGTCTGTCGTACAGACCCTGAAGCAAATATATCCAAGAAAGCCCACACAAGTCTAGACAATGTAAAATGAAGAAAGTCTCAGGCTCCTTTTCATTATATTTTTTTATTTTACTATGAACTTTTTCGGTAAAATATGATCATTTCAGAGACTAGTTTTTAGTCTAATATCAGGGTTGACACGTTTGATTGCCCCATGTCGATCGTTAGGCGTAAGACCAAAGTTCGATTCCCAAAGTGGTAAACCATTCTTTGATATGTCCTGTCGTGGTATGGTTGGTATAAAAGCGCGCCCCTCCTTACAAATTCATTGCATGTGGGGAGCGGTGCGGTAACCTAATGGTTAAAGCGTCCGCTCGTCACGCCAAAAACCCGGTTCGATCCTACACATGGGTACAATGTGTGAAGCCCATTTCTAGTGTCTCCCGCCGTGATATTGCTGGAACCATGATTGCAAAAAGTGGCAAAAAACTAAACCCACTCACTCTTCGTAGTACAGGTTTTGGCACATATGGTCAAGTTATCTGAGGCACCACATTGCCACGCCAGACGCCTATCATAGTGGGTTCGAATCCCGGTCCGCTCAAATGACGTTTCATGGTTTTTAAGCACCATACCCGTGCAATGTGGTAAACGCCTCAAACCTGATAGACTAACAACTAGTCTCTGAAATGAACATATTTTACAGAAAAAAACTTTTCATAATAAAAAAAATTATAACATAATAAAAAGGAGCCCTGAGACTGTCATTTCCTGAAACTGTGGAAATCTAGACTTGCCACATATTCTAGACTTGCATGGGCTTTCTTGGATACATTTGTTTCCGGGTCTATATGATAGACTAGAGACTTTGAGGTTTCCGACCACAGTAAGTTGACATGCCGTGAGAGATCCAACTCACTCATTCACTCTGTTTTATACTTACAGAACTGCCTTCCACTCTGGGTCGGTCTTGAACTGGGAGATCATCATCCAGGTGACGTAGTCTGCCTCCATCAGAAGAGACTGCCCGTTGTTCTTACACGCCATGTTGGCATCATTCCAGGACCGTGGACTCGAGTACAGCAGAAACAAGGTCCGGGAGGTCGGCTGTGGTAACGCTGGAAATAATCATACATCCCGTTACTTAAAGTCAGATGAAATAATGTTTAACGTGGCGTAAAATATTACTGTCCTTGCAAATCGACGTACACGTGTGTGTGTGTGTGTTTAACGTCTGTTTGTCTTTCTGTGTGTTTTCGAGTTTCATAGAGCTCGCACAATGAACATTATGCCAAGCGCCATACAGGGTTGCTAGCACAATCATTTCACATATTTTGATACCATCCAACCACCGACCTTCCACCTGTTTTATTTTATGTGTACGTTTTCCCCCTCATTCGGCGTGTTATTAAGTCTTCTACTCCTAGTTTCCTTTGTTAAGTGTCCACCGTTGTTATCCCCCGCAACGCGTTTTGCGGGGGGTATTAAAATGGACTCCGTCCGTGCGTGCGTGCGTCCGTGTGTCCGTGCACATTTGTCTTTTCCCGGAGCAGAACTCTAAAACCGTTCACTATTTCTTCACCAAACTTGGCACATAGATAGATCTGGTGGTCTACTGGTGCCTTTTGGTAGTTTGGGAATTCTGAATAAAATATTTTTGGCGTTTCCATGGCAACAAGTTTGACTTAGACTGAAATTGGGGGTAGTGCTCTTTTCCGAAGCAGAACTCTAAAACCGTTCACGATTTCTTCACCAAACTTGGCACATATATTGGTCTGGTGGTGTACTGGTGCCTTTTGGTAGTTTTGGAATTCTGAATAAAATATTTTTGGCATTTCCATGGCAACAAGTTTGACTAAAACTGAAATTAGTGGTAGTGCTCTTTTCCGGAGCAGAACTCTAAAATCGTGCAATGTTTCTTCACCAAACTTGGCACATACATAGATCTGGTGGTGCCTTTTGGTAGTTTTGGATTTCTGAATAAAATATTTTTGGCATTTCCATGGCAACAAGTTTGACTTAGACTGAAATTGGTGATAGTGCTCCTTTCTGGAGCAGAACTTTAAAAACCTTTCAATACTCTCCTTCCACTTTTCTATATACACACCTAAATATTTGACATAATCATAACTCGTAGACATAATCATGAAGAGTATTTTGCCATTGCGGGGGGTATTGATGACTTTGTCTTCTTGTTATCTTGTCATTGTTGTTTCACATGGATCTATCGCCATCTGCTAATAGTTTTCACTGAGCTGATGAAGGAATATACCACACACACACACACACACACACACACACACACACACACACACACACACACACACACACACACACACATCAGTCACACAATCACACACACCAATCACAGATCTATCCCACCAGCACAAGATACAAGTAGACCACATCACCACACCACACCCACACCACACCACACCACACCACACCACACACAACCCCGTAACGTCGTGTTCGTCATATTACTAAAGTTGGCATCCACAAATTTTCACCTTGTCTGCCAGTTATTGCTCTCAGCTTGTAAATGGTCATTACTTACCATTTACATGTAATTCATAACTGACATTTGTTTGTGGAGATATGCAAATGATATTGCAACATATACAGTGATGTTAACGTTGCAAATGTGTGGCAATAGGGACAGAATTTTGACAATAGGTAAAATGAGTCATCCGCGGAGGCTCACCTGATCCAGATAGAAAGACCACATAGACCCAGCCTGGAAGATGCAGCATACTGTCTTCATCTGAAACAAGCACCTTGGTTAATAGACGCATCACCGGAGTGCAAGCATCACCCAAATGTGTGGAACTCTGGGTGCACATTGCATGATTTCCGGGGGAGAAACGTTTATAACGTCATGGTATTACTACAAGACAAATCTTATGAATAACAACGTCTTTATTTGTTTACCACGACGTGTGTGGGCTAGTTCTTGCCCAGCCCAGAGTTGTTGTCCGTACGAATTGTCTTGTATTACTACACCAACTTCTTAATGCCTTTGAAGTAGTGTTGGGAATTGGTTAAAATCTCATAAATGATGATTGGTTTATTACAACCGATCAAGCATCGAAAATAATTGGTAAGCGTCATTTATGATATTTGTTAATGCACATAAAAATAAGGAAAAAAGCATGTAGTTCTTTTGGGGCTTTTTGGCAAAATCTCACATCTTTAAAGGATGACTAGTATGTTAGGAACATAAATTTCTTGGAGCCTTTAAGATAAATTCAATCATGACTTGAAACGAGCTTGTAGTGCTTACAAAATGTAACAGACAAAAGCAACCATGTGAAAAATATTGTTAATGAAAACAAGTGTTCCAAAATTGGTTGTGTTCGATTATGAGAAATTATGATCGATTGCTTGGTCGTTTAGTCACTACGACCAATCTTCGATTATTTGAATTAATCGGACCACCACTACTTTGAAGAATTTCGAATTACTACGAAAACATAAACTCAGCTTCTGATATTACGAACTCAATTCCAATCTTCAACTACCTTTATCATTTTATCTTTCCTTTTTACATAAAGAAAAATAAATAAAGTGAAAAAGGACCCCAAAGCAATTCTGAATTCCTTAAGCTGAGAAAATCTAGACTTCCCCTATGATTCTAGACTTGAGATGGCTCCTCTTTAATTTATAGTCAGAGTCATGAGTACAGACCACTGATGCCCATCGCTGGTCACGTGACGACATATTGGTCGTCATGACACATAATGAGGTCGTTAAACGAACATCGTAGCATCCTGCTATCGATTGTTGAGGTGAACACCCTCGCATCATAGATATGCCATCGCATCATAGGTACGTGGTGATGTTATCAGAGCTTGGTCACAAAAGATTCTCCGAACAGCTAATTAGGACAACATACGACCACGGGCGGATGCAGCTTTTTGAGATGGGGGAACACTTCATTTACACCCGAGTTTCAATGGTCATTGAACAAACTTTCAGAACAGGGGTGTGTGGGGCGTGGTGGTACTTACTGTGCCGAATTTAACTGGCATTTTTATACATGGGGATGGTTAAGGCAATATGAACATGTCAACAAGATGTGGAAAAATCGTTCTACATTTTGAAAGGTGATACTTCCACGTCCTACTCAACGATCCTGCTCATATGACGACAACGCACACGCAAACGCACACACGCACGACCACGCCACAACAGCAGTTCTCTGGTCTGGGTTCTTGGCTAAAGAAAGCATGCAACCTACATGACATATGAATATACAGAGAAATCATTTCCGTCAGTTACGGCTCATCTGCTTACAGTCTGATTAAAAAAAGATATAATTTGTTTGAGGCCCTTGGTAACAGTTACAGTTTAAGATTTCATATGATTATATAAAGTTCTATCTTTCTCATTTGTCTACATGGTGTCTTTTTTCTATTTTGTGTATTTGATTTTTTCCATATGTTTGTTTTAACGCCGCACTCACCAATATTCCAGTTATATGGCGGCGGTCTGTAAATAATAGAGTTTCGACCACACAATCCAGTGACTGACATCGTGAGCATCAATCTATGCAGTTTGGAACCACAGGATCCTGTTTGTCACCTCTTACGACAAACATGGGTTGCTGAAGACCAATTCTAACCCGGATGTTATGGAGTCCCTTTACCAGATGAATTATAATACATTTATTTATTATTATTATTATTTTGTAAAGCACCTAATATCCACCTTACAGATGCTCAGTGGCGCTAATACAGTGATAAAACTGAACATATATACATAAAACAGAATGATTATCTGCTGGTACGCAGATAGAAAGAGGTGAGTCTTAAGCTGTGATTTAAAGGTGTCTTTAGTGGTTGTATTTCTGAGGTTTTGGGGAAGTGAATTCCAGAGTTGTGGGCTGACGAAAGAGAAGGATCGTTCCAAAAGTCTATCTAGTGATTTTGGTTGAGTCAAGAGAGTCACTGGAGGATCTGAGATTCCGCTGAGGTGAGTAAGGGGAGATAAGTTCTTTGACATAGGATGGAAAGTTTTTATTGTAGAGACAGTCGTGAGTGAGGGCGAGGAGTTTGAAGGTAATTCTTGCAGAGATGGGAAGCCAGTGAAGTGACTGAAGCACAGGAGAGATATGATCATAGCGGGAAGAACGGAAGATACATCGGGCAGCTGAGTACTGAATTCTTTGAAGTTTCTGAATTGATTTGGATGACACGTTGGCGTACAGTGAGTTGCAAGGTGTCCTCCCATTACGCAGACAGCCAGTTCGCAGACACCTTAAAACAACAACATTTACGGTTCAGTGAACAGGTTATCTACTACCTGTTACCTACACATTATAATGGAATAGTCCAAATAAAAACACAGGAACAAACTGAAGCTATATTACATGTACTTATTTTGAAAGATGGATGAAAAGACAGTAATTTGAACAGTTTATTTTCATAAACATTTCTAGTCTAACGGGAGTCGGCATCATCATATTGAAAACATTAGCTTATCTATTAGAAATTGCGACACTGTTGTATCATCTAAATCAAATGAAGACAAATGTGAACCTAAATATTATTCATATG